CTGATCTCCTTCCACTTACGTCTGATGATACAGCCTTACCTATTTGAATTTGTACTGCCTGATACACTACTTCAGGCATATCTCTACAGTGACTCTTTGGAGAAGAGTTACCAGTGTATGCTCACTTTATTTGATCTGCCTCAACTCAAACTGAGGAACAGGAAGAAGTGGGACAAGAAGGGAAGCATTAGATACTAGCTACCGTAGCAATTTGAATTCTTTCTTATGCGATTGCTGCCACATCTAGCAGAAAAAGAACAGAAAGTAATCTCTTCTAGCTGCAAAACATTATTCTCTCTGACTTTGTATCTCATCACACTTTCCAGGCAGTTGAGCAGAAAATCTGCTTTATTTCTCAGGCAACTGGCTACAAAGCAAATATAAATGCTGGAAGATAGTCAGGGAGGCAGATTCCCTAGCCAGTTTCACAATACAGTAACGATACATATGATATAAGACACCAGCTCAATAGAAATGCAAACACTTTGATTAAAATGTGATCTGCTTTAATTTTCAGACAACAGGCTAATACCTGGCACTATTTAAAATGAAGTCTCCTTTTCCCTTTCACCCACCATTAGTGTTAAAATCTCACATCTAAAAAGTTTTGCCCATCGTGGACATAATCACCTGTACCATATCCTCCTTGTGATTATGGAGTGGGAACATAAATTTGCAGTGGTTCTGTAACCGTCAACCATCAACCTATATAACTTTAATCCATTATTTTGGCTAGGGAAAAGAAGACAAGACAGATGAAATTAGTGAATGTAATCAATTGATGCATGGAAATAAATGGAGGGCAAAAAAAAGAGAATGAAATGAAGTTGAATCAAGTAGGACTAATATTGGCGGAAAGATTAAAGAGAGTATTAAGTAGAATTATCCACACTGATCAGAATGGCTTCCTCCCCCATAGGCAAATAAAAACAAATACAAGAACCATTATGGATATATTAGAATATTATGAAGTATACTCAACCAAGACAATGGCATTGATATTTTAGACACCCAGAAGGCTTTTGACAACCTGAATTGGAACTTCCTTATTAAACAACTGATAGGCATGAAATTTGGTGAAAATTTTATAGGATTTATTAAGACAATTTATTACATGCAAACCGCAAAAATATTAATCAATGGGGAAAATACAGATACCATAAAGATAAATAAGGGAGTAAGACAAGGCTGCCCCCTAGCTCCTCTACTGTATATATTGGCAGAAGAGACTCTCTTAGTACAAATTAGGCAAAATCAAGAGATGAGAGGACTAAAAATTAAAAAAGAGGAATATAAACTCCAGGCATTCGCCGATGATATGGCATTTATATTAGAAGAACCCTTAGAAACGAGCTCTATACTACTAAGAGAAATAGAAGAATATGGAAAGGTGGCAGGGTTAAAAATTAACAAAGAAAAAACAAAAGTGTTAACAAAAAACTGTACAAAGGAGCAGAAGGAAGAACTAGCAAATAAATTAGGTATGCAGGTGGTAAATAAAGTAAAATACTTAGGGATCTGGTTGACTGCTAGATGTTCGTTGATTAAAAAAGATAACTATGATAAGTTAATAACTCAATAGTTAAAGATTTAGATAATTGGGCCAAATTGCAGTTATCGCTATTGGGACGTATTTCGATAGTAAAAATGAATATTTTGCCAAAACTGTTGTTCCTGTTTCAGACAGTGCCAGTCAAGTCGGAAAATAATTTTTTTGTAGAATTAAACAAATGTATATCTAAATTTATATGGCAGAGGGAAAAACCCAGAGTGAAATATAAATTATTACAGGATGCCAAGAAAAAAGGAGGATTTGGCCTTCCAGATTTTGAATTATATTATGATGCTGCTATAGTAAACTGGCTTAAGGATTGGGTTAAATTAGAAAATAGAAGGTTATTAGTATTAGAAGGTTTTGATCTCCAACTTGGCTGGCACGCCTTCATGTGGGATGGAAAATCTAAACAACATTCATATTTCCAAAGGTACCATGTAAGAAATGTGTTGTTCAATATCTGGGGAAAGATTAAAAAAAAAACACACTACCCAAAGGTTCCACTGTAGCTATCTACATTGGAAGCAGTCACATATCCAAATCTATTGGATTATGAAAATATTGTCAGTTATAAAGATTTACTATATGATACTGGAGAGCTTAAAAATAGGAACCAAATACAAATTCAAGGAAAGGAGATAGCATGGTGGCACTTTGCACAAATACAAACCCATTATAAAAAAGATAGAGAACAATTTGGCTTTAATATGACCCCACAAGAATTAGATAAAATATGGCTAGGAGAGGAAAAGAAAACAATTAGTAAAACATATAAATATCTTTTGGATTACAAATTAAAAGAAGAACTAGTCACAGAATCTATGATAATTTGGGCTAAAAACGTGGGTCATAGTATTGAATTAGATCATAGTATTGAATTAGATAAGTGGGAACACATCTGGCAAACAAATTACAAATTAACCATGTCAGTCTCATATAAAGAAAACTTATACAAAATGGTTCATCGCTGGCACCTACCTCCTGCGAGACTGGCTAAGATGTTCCCCAACCTACCACCCAACTGTTGGAAATGTAACTACACACAAGGAACATATTTTCACATGTGGTGGACTTGCCCATGTGCTCTGAAGTTTTGGAGAAATATTAGAAATTGGATTTTAAATATAACAAAACAAAATTTAAAACTTGAACCCGAAAACTTTCCGCTAAGTATGATAGATTTAAACATGGAGAAAAAATATCAATATTTAATTTTGCACATCATAACTGCGGCCAGAATAACCTACGCACAAAACTGGAAACTGTCTTTCATTCCTTCAGAGGATATGGTAATTAAAAAAATACATGAATGTGCTGAGATGGATAGCCTAACCAAATTGTTAAAAAATAAACAAGATAGTAACTATTATGAAATATGGAACATTTGGTATGATTGGTTAAAGAAAAGGTAACATTTGATATTTGGATAAGTTATGGAAATGACAGAAGACATGCATTTAATTATAAACTATATAGATAAATTAAAAGATTAAAAGAACGAAGGAGTTATTGTAACAAGGCAGATCACGTCAATGATAAAGATAAAGGGAAAAAAAATTAACCATTGCTCAATATATTCTGTAAAATGTGTGTGTGTGTGTGTGTGTGTGTGTATAATTTGTCTGTTTTAAATGTATGTCAAATAAATGTTTTCTTCTAGAATAATAAATAAATAAAGTAGGTCTAATGAATGCTAGTAATTTAATGATAAATATAAATACTTATCTAGAAATAAATTAACCATTGTTTATTGTTGTGTTTTATTTTTTAAAGGTCAAATATTATATATGTGTCTGGCAGCAGTTTCAGCTCTTAAAGACAATATAATTGACCAACTATATTATAAACTACCACACTCAAGATTGTGATTATGATGTTCTGTGCCTGCTTGTTTCTGGCTTAGCATGATGTGCAAATCAGCCGTTATCACTTCAATAAACCATGATTAAACAAAACATTGCAAGCTTATAGTTTTTATATTTTATTTTGCTCATTTACTGTTTTTTTCTAAATCCTTATGTACCCCCATAGCAGAAAGTGTCTCTGTGTATTTAAATGGACTGTATGCACAAAAACATTTGACATACTGAATTTATTAATTTTTCCTCCAAAAAGACTGCTGTATTTATGAAAATAAGACATTTCAATCTTGCACACTTCTGAAAGTTTCAAATTAAAAGATATATTTCATGGGATAATTATTGCAATTGTTCTATATTTAAATTTTTTAAAATCCAACATACAGTACGTATCTGCTACTTTTTGACTTTAAACAGTAAATTACAGAAATTCTAAACACTTTGTTTAAAAGTTTTATTAAAATCAGTTGGACCTGCTTCTATGTAAACATAGTTAGAAATCTTCTGTTTATTCATGGAATTAAATTATAAAATATTTAACATTCAGATTAGAGGGCCTTCTACTGTCAGTATTATAAAATGCTCACTGCAAACTTATACCATTTTGGGAAGGGAAGAAATATATATGACATGGCAAACTTGCATTCAAATTCAAGTGACTTCAAAAATCTGTTTCTCATTTAAATTTTCCAGTCAGAAACTTTATTTTCATATGTAAACAACTGTTGCATAATCAGAACTTTTCTAAAATACAGACTGATGGAAAAAAAATCAAAATGTTAAAAATACTATTTAATAAAGTGGTGTGCTTTGAAGATAAAACATTGATTAGTTTCTGCATTCAAACAGTCTCACTTATAAGGAAAGATTTTAAGGAAAATTTAATCTGGTGTCCAAATATAACATTACTTTAAACATGAGGTCATCTAAACATCTGTCTCCAATATATCCATAGGGATTTAAATCAAAAGTCTGCTAAACATGTACAATCATTTAGAAAATAAATAACAGAACAAATTTTCTCTTGATTATGATTATCATGCATTTTAAGAGGAAACATTTATTCTAATAAGAAAAGTCTGAATTTAAAGTTTATTGACATTAAAGTAAAATAGTTTCTTTCCAAGAATATGACATTGATTTATATTTACTCTAATCCTGAATAATATCCACGATTCAATACTTGAGAAACAGGCCTGTGCTTTGACAATTTTAGTACCTTAGGACTCTGCTAATATTATAATAGAAGAACTGGGTGATCACCAAAATATTTATCTTTGCAAAGCAAATGTAAGAATAGCTTTAAATTTCAGATTTTTTTTTCTATGTGTGCAATTTGGATTGCAATTTTTGCAATTCCCAGGCAGAAAGGGTGGTCTTATACAGGGGATGTCCAACTGTGGCAACATTGATACTTGTGGACTTCAATTCCTAGAATTCCACATGACTGGGAATTCTGGGGGCTGAAGTCCACAAGTCTTAAAGTTACAACGTTGAACACCTCTGCTCTGGTTATCCAAAGGGCACCTAATTTGGAAAGATGGTCATCCCTCTGGCAAAGAGACAAGATCAGGCAGAAATGCCTTTTGACCCATGCAGACCAAAGGTAGAATAGCACCTCCACTTCCAACACCACAATTTGATCTATTGCAAAACCCCTGGATTCAATGCTCCTATGATCTTCATAATGTCACGAACAAGCCAGCAATTAAGGTTAGTGCCTTAATATTTTATTTTTCACTCATTTCAATGTAAGTTAAAAGTTTAAGAAAAAAATAGAAATACTGATTCAGAAATAAAAAAAACAGCTTCAAAATGGCTTTTTCTTATCCCTTGCTGTGGCCACCTGTAAGCTAGAAGTTTACTATAGCTCTGAATGGATCTCTCATATCTCTTTTATGACTTGTCTCTCATCCTCACTTTAGTATAACATGCAGCATTATCTCTATGCACTTCCTAATTCCACAATGAACTGCAATTTTATTTAACTCTCCTACCAAATTAGTGGCATGTACAATAAAAGAAAAAAGAGTGATATTTGAGTGGCAGTGAAGTTCCATGTCAAATTATTGATCCCATATAGAATTTAGTCAGACCTTTTCTGTTCTATTTATAGGAAATCATTACTAATCTAATGTAAAAGATGGGAAAAGACAGAATCTTAAGAAGCCACAGTCCTTACATAACTAAAATAGTGCAGACCATCAGGGAGTGAGGAGGCACCTTCATCTTTGCTAAAGTATGCGGCCTTAGAGACATATACTTATTAAATTTTAGTTCACTAATAACTTCAGTTCTCTTGGTGGACCACAAAGCTATTTAACATACTTGACATAAAAAACATTCTTTTGGTGGTAGGTCCAGAGTTGTGAAACACTCTTCACAAAGATTTCCACACAACTTAACATTATGATCTTTTTTAGTACTTAGGAAAATCTTAGGCTCTCGGGATTTTAAGCAACATTTTGCATTTTAGTACTTCAGAATTTTATTCTTATTTCATCATTATGAATTATGCCTGCTTATTGCCATGATTATTGCTGCTCCTGAGTTATATTGCCTCCTGTTTCAAAATCTGTTTCTTTTATGCTGGTTTATATTATCGTTATATTGTTTCTTTTTTACTCGTTTCTTTGTTGAAAAAAGAAAACAATAAAAAGGATAAAAGAGGATAAAAGCATACTCTCACATGTGCTAAAAAGACTAACTATGTCTTCTATTATTCATTTAAATCAATTTACTAACAATAAGAAACAAATGGGAAATTAAATATATAAATTAATATACACAATCCAATTTTTAAAAAAAGTCCTGACAGGAAAACTGTACTGGAATATAGAAATAGAGGTGAATTCTTCTGACTGTAGTGTAACTGATGGGGAGTGGGTATCCTTCCTATTTTGCACTGAGATCTTATTGCAAATGGAGAATATCTATAATCATTGTCTTCAAAATAATATAGGCATCTAATAAATTCACTAATAAATTTCCAAATTGAATTTAATATATTAAATAACTTCTGTCCAAAAACCGACAACTACAACACAAGACTCTGTTGCATGAAATGCTGTGTATTTTAAGCCCCACTCTCCAATGTCTCAGTGGTGACTCCTGCCCTTTGGAATAATCTTTCCACCAGCTTACAATTAGCCCCAACTCTGCAGGCCCTTGGAAAGGCAGTGATGAACTGAGTCTTATTTGACTAATCAGTTAAAGATTTCCATTCTGATCACTATTTCATCCTATTGTTGGAGTAACTTTAAATGAGACATGCTCTTTTGTATTAATTGATTAAGGTTTCTCTTTTTTTTTTTTTTTGTAAGCTATGCTGAATCACCTTATCTGAACTGGGAAGCCACAGAAATGGTATATTAAATAAAATATATTGAACACATCCACCTTCTTCTGAATAGATTTGAACATAGTACATTCTGCATATTCTTGTACATCTACAAGATTCTATTCTACAATGTATAAATTATTTTATGGGCTTGTTATCTCTATAACATGTAAAGAATTATAAAGAGATGTAAAGAATTATAAAGAGATGTTAAAAGGTCCTGTATTACACAGTTTTGAAGCACTTAAGGCTGCAGGCTCATATCAAGATATTAACGTTTTAATTGAAGACACCTTTATTTTACACTTCTCAAACTGGAGTTGGCAAGTGATGTTTGACCATTTGCTGCTAGAAGAAAATGAAGCTAACCTCTGTAATCCTATTAATCCGATCAAATAAGGAATAAATGTTCTACTGCTGGTGTCTCACTCTTCTAATTGAATGTGTTGGAGGAAGGAACGGAGAGAGATAAATTTATTCTGTAGCTTTAAAAGGGGCCATTTATCCTTATTCCTCTTTAAATCTCAGTCTATTCTCTTCATGGTATAATCTGTTAGTCTAATGTCTGCAGTTCTTCAGCTAATTCATTCTTCAGAGCAAGTCCAGCATAACTGTCCCAAATATAACTTTTTAGGTAACTAAATAAGCTCTCCTCTTTTATCCATAAAATCTCTAATAATTTTACTCAAAATTTATTGCTAATGGCTTTTTAATGTTTCCATTAATACCCAGTTCTCATAAAAATGCAATTTTAATATCTAATTTTTCCAGTAGTCTACATTTACATCAAATTAAATAAAAATGATATTTCCTATTCACCTGCCATCACAGAAGAAAATGAATATTATTTTCAATTTCTGAGTTTACTAAAAGTATTAAAATAGCATTATACTGCCATCTAGTGGCCAGTTTAGTGGATGTGTACAAAACCATTTTAATGAGTAGATCTCTGCTGGAATACATAGCAACTAACAATTATATGCAAGTCTATTCAGAAGCAAGTGAATATGACTCATTCTCAGGTAAGCACTAAGTATTGGGTGTTCAGTTGTGGCTTATGAATATAACTGTAATAAACAAAATTCTCTACTTGGAGTGAAACAACAGCAAAATACAGTTTCATATAATGAAAAGAACATTTAAAGCCAAAGAAATGCCTCAGATACATGTGATTCAAGCTAATTAAATATATATTGAGGAAGTCTTTCCCTAGCATATTATTTTAGATAAGCAAACAAAATCCAGTGTCGCTGTTGATAACATTATCCATTTGCACAAATGTTACACAGTAATGTTGTTAGAATGAAAAGGTACAATGCTGTTCATAACAAATGATTATTTACTCAAACCACAAGTTGTGTTCAATATTGATGTACTGCCGGTACTCTTTAGGAACTATGGTGGCACAGTGGTTAGAATGCAGTATTGCATGCCACCCACTGCCAGGAATTTGATCCTGACCTGTTCAAGATGCTTCCACTGTCAGTAAAATGAGGACCCGCATTGTTAGTAGCAATATGCTGACATTGTAACCCACTCACGGAGTGCTGTAAAGCACTGTGTAGTGGTATATAAGCCTAAATGCTTTTGCTATCTAGTTTAAAGTGGCCCAAGGGCAGCGATACCATATAGAGGTTGAGAACTTCAGCCCTTCTATCCTCCATCACTACTCCTTCTATGCTTCAGCTGGGCCTGTTAAAAACACAACAACAAACCAAGAGTCCAACAGTTCTAAAAGTAGTGTTGTCCTGATTGCTCTCTGTTCTGTTCCTAAACTAATGTGAGAACATGACTTTTGAGGAGGAAGATCTATCTGGTTGTCACTAATGAATGCATTTGTGGAAAGGCAATGCAAGAGGCTACTAAACGGTGGGCACTGTACAGCAGAGGAAGAGATCAAACATGGGAAAAGGAGGTTAGTTGTTTTCTAAGGTAGGAGATCAATATGAGGAAGTCTAGCTATATATTAACACTTTATTAAACTTCCTTGAAGAATTAATATTGAAAAAGGCAAAGGTATATTTGCAGAAAATATAGTAGATGTGTTTCTATGTTAAGTGAGGCTTTGTTTAACTACACATTTCTGAATAAATCAAAATCATATTATGTGTGGTATTTTCTTTACAATTCAGTGGATATATTGTTCAAATAAT